TGAATTATGTGTGGAACATCTGTTCCTGGGCCTTCAAGGAATTTTAAAGGAATATCTGTGATCATGTTTATTTATACTTCGGTGATATTATTAATTAAGTAGTTATGGGAATAAGAGTGATTTTTCTGCTACTAACTTACACCCGGTTTCCGAAAGGCCGATCAATGTTAAAATCAATTTAATCTCTTGTCAAGTCATCTGATTGGTTGACTGTATTATCAACAACCAATCAGATAACTTGACAAGAGATTTAACAGGAGATTCGTTAATTTTAGCGTTGACAAGCCTTTCAGAAACCGGGTGTTACTGTGTGTGTCAATGTTTTCGAAGATGACAAAATAATTCTATTTAATGCGTAAGTACATACTGTTTTTGTCTGATCTTTTTGAAAGTACCAATGTAATATCCAGAAAACAAAGAACTTATAACATTACTTGCATAATTATGTATTCGTCTTAAAACCTCACGATCAAATAAAAAATTGAAATTAAACTGAAACCAGCTTTTCAGTCAGTGTTGCTTTTCTAACTCCAAAACTGATACAGCCTATTCATCAAGTATCGTGTTTTTTTTTAATCCAAAAATTGACAGCACTTCTTAAAAAGGCAGACAAAACGTACCTAACCTTTAAATACACAAAAATAATATATTTCATGAACACATTATAACCAACAAAGTTTGGCTTCAAAAGCCACTACCACCGCCGGAGAGTCAGGTCAATATTTCACCACCTTTCAATTGCTACCTCTTGCATAATGGCTGCCATTTGTAACGAACAACTCATTTTAAAGGAGATTTACTGGCAAACGTTTTCAAATCAATATTTCTGATTTATAAACCCGTTTTGTCTTTATTGTTATGTGTGTGTGATCTGATGACCGACAAATTATTTATTCTTTTTTTTTAAGAAATATGTCGGCAAACGAGCATTTGGATTACCTGATGGTAAGCAATCAGCGCCGCCCATGGACACCCGCAACGGAGGAGTTACGAGTGCGTTGCCTACCTTTTAGGCATTAGGGGTTTGGAGATTTAGGGATTGAGGAGGGATTGGGGAGGGGAAGGATTGGGTCGCCGGTAACCTCACTCACACGGCGAAACACAACGCTGTGATTGTTTCACGCCGGTTTTCTGTGAGGCCGTGGTATCACTCCGGTCGAGCCGACCCATTCGTGCCGAAGCATGGCTCTCCCACATTAAACTCTCACGTGAGTTTTAACCTACTGTTCGACTTCTTTTGGCCTTCTTCTATAGCGCTAGTATTAAAAAATGAGGGTATGTTTAAAATATATAATGTTGAGTGTAAGTTCTAAGCTGGGATATCCCGCCTCTTTTTTTTGTTAATATCTTAACAAGGTTTTCAGAATCCATGTTCTAAATTTAAACAGTACAGTTCTTTTTTTAATTTGGAAAGTATGTAAATGGCTGTAATTCAAACAGACAAATCGACAAAGAAACAGATAGACATGACACAATTTATCAGGGTTCCGCTTTCCCAGGACCCTTATATGAAAATTAAATACTAATATAAAAAAAATATGTTACATTTAGCGCTTGTATATTTTTCCCATTCAAAACCAACTCGAAACATGACAAACCACAGCTAACTTCACCAAATCGATGCCTACATAAATCTAAACTATCATTACTAAATCCTTGCTAAAGTACAATAGTCGGACAGTTTGTCTCTACTACAGAACAATTATTTAAGTTGTTGTTCTCTGATCAGTTCGCTCGATTTAAACTCCTAATAGTACTGCCTCCCTGGTGCTGCCGCAAGAACGGTTGTTGAACAAAAGATCCAAATCAAAATACAAAGCAGCATACAAGCTTAATTAGCTATTCAACTAAGGGCCTGAATAACTAGCCATTTGATTAAATTACTGTTCATTATCATTCATTCATTCTTCCAAGCTGTTTGGTAAGTGGTGGAGGCATTTACACTAAAACCAAGCTGCTTCCAGAACGGTTGGTTAGGTTAGATTAGAAGTGGGATTCGTAAAGAAATCAAATGGCAGTGACCGATACACAGCTCTAAAGAGGAGAGGAGTGGTCCGTAGTTGAATGGATCAGTCATTACTGAAGCATGATTTTCTAATGTTTTTGAAAATTTTTAAGAAAAAAAAAGAATATTAAGTCTATCTTCAGATCGATGAATGATAATGTATGTGTGTGTTTTTTTGTATATTTTATTGTATTGAAAAGTTATAACATTACTTGGGAAAAGATGCAATGTTGCGATTCATCATATCAGTACTATGTCCACTGCTAAACAAAAGCCTCCACAAACGAACGAATACGTTATATGTATATATAATACATATGTATGTACCAGCTGCTTTTGTCAACTCGTTGGTCCACCTCGTTACAATTGGTCGATTCTTTTCAATCGATAATTCGATTCGTATTTAGATATTTTGGTTTCCCATTGTGTACTTTTGGTGAAAGAAAGTTGTTTCAGCTTTCAAAGGCCACGGGTTTGTTCGCTATTGCCTTTTTGTATCCGATTTGATTCGATTGTTGAAAGGATGTTCTTTGTCGATTACAATTCAACTGTGTTGTGGTGTGTGATTACTGGGTTTTGTTAAAAAAGTTGCGGTCGAAAAGTTTGCGGATTTTCGTTAAAAGATTTCGGAAAATAGACTCTTCTTAAAGGGATTTGATATTTGGAACATTATCAGTTGATAGATTATAATTATAATTGAGCTCAATGAGATTGAAATATAATGCATATCGTTTCCGAAGTTAAAAAGTATGTTGATAGTAACAACATAAGGTTCAAAATGCAAATTTTATGCAAAATGGTTTTTTTATTATTTCTGCTCTTATTCAAAGTACACAAATGTCCTGTACAAACATAACAGTACAGCAAACCGTAATCGCAGGTACCAGGCAAGCATAAAACCTAATATGTTCATAAATCGGGCCTTTAACACTACGTTCGGCGTACTAAGGTGTTTCTCTAGAATGTGCACAACATCCAAGCGATTCTCTACTCTGTAACGTGGGAGTAAAGTCGGTAATTCAAGTGGACAATCTATTTACTAGGTCGTCTAGATACATACTAATCTTGTGTTTGTTAGAAGGTGTATCGTAAGAGATTTTGTATGTTAACGGACTTCATATTTTAAAGTCAAGTTAAAAGACAAGTCCTCGCATTTTTCATTAATGTAAGTCTTTTGCTTATCGTAATAAGATTTTCTCAAAAAGATTAAACACATTTATAACAAACAAAATGCTCACAAATACGCTCCTATACCTATATAATGCTCCGATACGTTTTCATTCGTCGCTTTCTTAAATCCATCATATTATACCAATAAGTTTTCTAATTTTGATTTATAGAGAAAATGAACCAGGCTTCATGAATGGACAGGAGATTGACTTAAAAGGCAAAGGGAAAGTATCTCAATTCATGCATTTTAATCTTCCATGATTTCCATTTTCTCCTTTATTGTAAAATCAATGCTGTGTTACAACACGGTTGAGTAATGTATATTTTAAAAGTGAAAAAGACGCAAAAGGAAGTGAACAAAGCTTTTGTTCGGCCTTCAGCCACTTCCCTTGGGTCTATTGTTGAAAAAATAAAAAAAAATATTCGGCCATTGGTCGGGAAAAACACGGCTTGGTGACTAATGTCGCGGATGGTAGTGGTACAAGCTTGTTTATATAACCTCTCCGTGAACTTGTGCGCCTGGTAATTTTTATGATTTAGAGGTTGCTATGGCAGGGAAAATTATTATTTTATTTATTTTCTCGACACAACTTTTGCTCGTTATTTGGATAAATAAAAAAATAAATGAATTAAATTTAGTTACCTAAAACCTGATAGAAGCTGCGGCACCTTCTAGATTAGCTAGTCACATATAAAAAAGATTACGCTATACTATTACTACTATAATCAAATATGAAACTTAACATCTTTTAAATAAAGTCTCCATTCAAACATCACCGACCTTAGCTACAAAAACCTGAACGCATCAGTTCATTCCGCATCATTCGAAAACCCACAAACGTCAAGTGACTTGAATCACAATCGGGAACATTTTTTCCGTCATTGGAATTCATGTATTCACGTGATCGGATGTCCGGGGTGAGCACAAGGGGGTAATGGCGTCAGATCGGTTCTCTATATGGGTCTGGCGGTTTTAACGTGTCTGGCGATTTGATAGGACTGTGAATATTAACATAATATGTGGTTTTGATCATTTTTAGTTTGAGATGTCTAAGGATAATTTGAGTTAGGTACAATCTATTACTAAGATTTTCAATTTTAAGTATCTTCCAAAATATGTCGTCAATTTCTTAATTATCGATATTTATTAAACAAAAATGGAAGACTTCATCGGTTTGGGTAATTATTTTAGTATTATTAATATATGATTTTGAAAAATCCAGGGAAAGAGCATAAGGTGTAGGACATAATATAGTTAATTTATGGCACATTTTTTGTAAAAAAAACAACAGGGCCTCGAGTCTGCTATTACAATAGTGTCAGAATAGTAGATCATTGGTTGCAAAATTGTTGATTTTGACAAGTTTTTGTAATCTACTAACACGATAACATCATTATGACCTCCCAATGCCACCCATTGAAATAATTCCTTAAAACGGTAATCTCGTACATAATGACAAATGAATTTGGCATAATAAAAAAATGTCAGTTCCTTTAATCAATGTTTAGAATATTAATGTGCAGTTATTGTTTATAATTCGTTACAAGACATCTCGTACTATAATTATATTACGACATCGCCAAACGCCAATGATCAGCCATTTTGAATTAATAGATTTCGAACTTTTAGCAAAATGACAATGGAATTGTGTAGGAATGACAACACTTTGAAAATAGTTGACTAGGGCCCCAGGTTGTCTGTAAAAAAAAGCTTTTCAACAAAAAAACAAAAACAAATCGGATCTTGGGTAATTGTCGGAGCTATCCCTGAAAAAATACAAGAAAGTGTGCTAATAACTAAAGACTATTATTCTGTTGTCCACAGCGAGTCCTATCCTCTAACTCCGCTGCCAGACGAGGTTGGCGGCGGAGTTATCACCGAAGGACCATCACTCCTTCTGGCCACATGGACCCCCAAAGGCCATGGGCTGATCACCGTCAAAGACTACGACATATACTACAGACCGGCCCCAAGGTCATCAACTGGATACCGAGTAACAGAGTCTGGCGTGCCAGGCACAATCCACAACGGTGTGCCAGACTGGTTGTATGAAGGTATGTATGTTTTAAAAAACACCGACTATTCGTATCGTTTTATTCTAAGATAGCTACATTACCGTGTTTATAGAAAATAATGACAGCATTTTTGGGATAAAAAATAAAACTTGAAAATTATAAAAACCTAAGAATCCCAACGGCCTTATTACAAAACAAGGATTTTCATTCGCCTTAGCCATTTAGCCAGTTTTTGTATTTCAAATTGAAGGTAGGTTAGAATAAGATTCAAAATACAAAACTTGACTCAATGGATGAAATTGATAATTGTAATAAGAGATAGAAAGAAGAAAGAAAGAGAGAAAAGTATTTATTTGCGTCTAGGACGCACATACTTAAAACACAGAACAAACAAGTTTTTAAACACAAAAACAACAAAACATGGTAATACAATATAAAAAAAAAGTTTGCGAGACAGTGTCACAGCGCTGATTTTCAGCGATGGCCGACAACTAACATCTGACGACAACTGTCATCTCTTTATCAGTCATCTGATAAAGAGATTATAATATAATAAAAACTGTAAATTTTATTGACACGTTATTGTATCCTTAAGGTTTGAGTGAATAGATTGATCATAGTTAAGCGCGGTCTACTGTAGGACGCATCATCACATACAATCAAGCAAGACAAAGGCAAAATGCCAGAACCTCTATTAGAAAAAAAAAGGTCAAACAATGCAAACTGACAAATTGTCAAAATAAAAAGTATCGGAATAAAAAATCTACATGAGTACATAGAATATTAAACTTCATCCTCTAAAACAAACAAAATGCGTTTTTTTCCACACCAATTTCGATAAACCACAATTTACATTCAGTATTGTACTCTATACCAAACTACAGAGAAAAAAATTTCCTAACAACGAAAAAAAAATTCAAACAATTTTTTCAACGGCAAACACTTTCAATTTCATGGTTGGCAAGGCTGGTCCCGGCATAATGCTTACGTCATAACCGTTCCTTTTCACAAAGAGAATCTGTTAGTCTAGTGGAACTTGGGGGGAATGTCGCCAGTCAATTTTAAATTTTTCCCAGAGACCACTGTTCAGGGGACCGTAGAAGGTTAACTTGAAAAAGCTACCCCATATGATACAGTTCGTGTAATGGACCTCTCTCTTTCATCAGATTGGTTTACTGCAGTTTAATAAAATTGCTTTGCTTTAGCCAGACTTAGAAGCAGCGCTATTTTCACATTGTCAAAAACTTTTTTTATATGAAAATTGTCCCGACCTGACATGGCCTGTGTCACAATGGGCGCGCTTAATACAAATTCACATACACACGCCACCCAGACCCTATACAACAATTTATGGATCAAAATGAATGAATAAAACCCGCGACACGTTGCACAGCAGACAGTTGCCCAGCCACTGCGCTAGCCGTCAGCAGTCAATATGAATTATTAATTCCAAAAATAATGTTTCTGGTGCCAAATCTTAAACTTTATAAAATGCTACCTAATATCATACTTCCAGTTCTTTAAAACTCATAGAAGATAGATTAACATACCTATGAATATAATGACAAAACGAAACACAACAACGGCATAATAAACTACTGAACACTACCTATCAAACGAAAATAAATCTACACTTATATAAAAATAGAGTCCAACTTACAATATCAACGCAAAATTTAAACAACGCTACTTGAAGTGAACAAAATGAAATTCGATATTTACCGATGATTCGCTTTTTCAATATGGCCGAACGCTCATTCACTTCAATATTGTAATTCTAATAAAAGTTTCGAAGGAAATGCTCGCCCATTGCTCCTTGCGAAAATTCGATTCAATTTTTTTGAGACCATCCAGTTGAATGTTCTCAGATAAATGTTATTTTTATAGATATTGGCCTGTTCGATCGTGGTAACGTTTACCCAATGTATGTTCATTATTCACTTTGGTTTTGTTGTAACAGTGCTGCAAATTGATTGGCCAGCTCCTGTCCAATGTTTGGTCCAATCTTCGTATCTGTTTAAATAGTCGGCTTGTCGGCGCATTACTATGGCCATGGATCTATGATCTATGATATTGGTAGGAGGAGGCGACGCGCCGTCCGGGTCTATAAAACTCACGGCCGCGCGAACGCCGTCCTTCTTTCTTCATACGCACTCGGCTAATCAACGTCAAAGACTTTTCGCAGTTCTCTGTAATCGCGCCGCGCCGGTTTTGATGTAGTTTGCGAAATATACCTATGTTTTGTGCAGTCGCCTGTTTCATTGAAAGTAACCCGAAAGAACAAAACAGGCTTGTTAAAACAGTAGGAAAACGTATAAAAATATCCTAATTACGAAGATATGGCTAAGACATCGAAGTCAGTCATATTACTTCTTTATCATACTGCGATTCTCATATTATTTAAAACTAGCTTTTGCCCGCGACTCCGTCCGTGTGGATTTTTTTTTGTATAAAAACTATCCTATGTCCTTTCTCGAGTTTCAAACTATGTCTGTACCAAATTTCAGAAATCGGTTCAGTAGTTTAGGCGTTAAGAAAAGACAGACAGACAGAGTTACTTTTGCATTTATAATATTATAGATTGGATTAGTTTGGATGCATAGATTATTTTTTTCTATAATCTATGTTTGGATGTAAACACATTACACGGAGTCAATAAATAACCCGTAAGCCAAGAAAAAATACCAGGCGCACATTTTCACGAAGAGGTTACATTTACCGAACGCGGTATGTTACCTACCACGTTTGCATAAAATACACGCTCATAAAAATAATAGGTATTCGACAAGCATACATACTTTCAAATTTTAATGCAAACTTTTAACATATTTACGTCGTCACAGACGAAGTTTTCGCATCATTTATCGATGTGTTCAACTGCATGGCACACACTTTGACTGCAACTAACTATAAGTAGTAGAACTTTGCAAGTTACTGCAACAACTTTCTGAGACCTCTCGTCGTTTCTAACTTGTTGTACTTGTGTATTAGAGTTGCATAGGTACTAATTATTTGTCGAAGCTATGTACTTTTGGTAGGTAATATGTTTTATATCAAGATTTATTACGAGAATGTCGTCGTCAAAATCAATATTATGTTTTTTTTTACTTTTTATGGTAGGGAGTATTATTTTTATTTTTTTTATTATTAGTATTAGCAAGTTATAAGCAAGAGTAACTTTGAATTTTAGGTTTATTAAAATGAGGATTTTACGTCAGCGTGGTATTGATTCAATTTTAAAACTAATCCTAATATAAATTCGTTCATATCATCTATGTAGGTAATAGTATAAAAATACGTCAGTAGTTGCACACCAAATTAACTAACCATCCAATAATATTATCAATGCGAAAGTAACTCTGTCTGTCTTTTATTGATGCCTAAACTACTGAACCGATTTCTGAGAAATTTCGTACAGCATAGTTTGGAACTCGAAAAAGGACATAGAATAGTTTTTATACCAAAAATCTGCAGGAAGTCACTATTCCACGTGAACGAAGTCTAAATAATACAATCCACAAAAACTGTATACATTTCATATTTCTAACCGACCCTGAAACAACGTTAAATTTAACGAAACAACAATACTATAACACAACATGAACTAAATACCCGTTTGAACACAAAACTCCGACAATAAATTAGAGAAAGCCAACCGTTAATTCCATTCCAACGTAAAATAACTGCCGAAATTTCGCATAAAACACGTTTCACCCCTCAAAGCGCATCTCTAGTGGCAACCTGGCAAGCGCCAAGGAATGTGAATGACGACTGGCACAATTTAGTAACTGGCACAATCTGGCAACTGGCATCTGGCACGCAAATGAGGCAAATGCAACCTCTCATTAAGATAAAGGTGGGCCCATTTACAAATCGCGTAACGGTAACGGAATAAAATAATCATTTGCCCCCTTTTCTTGGGGTCTGGGGGTGGGAAATTAGGACGTCTCGTCTTGTGGTTTCAAGTTGTCAGAGTTCAGTAAGAAAATTACTTTAGAGGATTATAAGACAGCTGCTTGTCAATGGAATGGAATGGAAACTTCTTTTTCTTGTCAGTTCGTTTTCCTGTGTATTTTTATAATGAGTTAAAGTTAGTTTAGAAGAATGAAACATTTTGATTTTTTTATGTAATAGGTCGGCAAACGAGGGGACGGATTTCCTGATGGTAAGCAATCAGCGCCGCCCATGGACGGGTGTCCACAACGGAGGAGTTACGAGTGCGTTGCCGATCTTTTAGGGATTAGGGATTTGGGATTGGGGGAGGGGAAGGATTGGGCTTCCGGTAACCTCACTCACACGGCGAAACACAACGCTGTGGTTGTTTCACGCCGGTTTTCTGTGAGGCCGTGGTATCACTCCGGTCGAGCCGACCCACTCGTACCAAAGCATCGCTCTCCCACACTCGTTGTCCGACACCTATTTGTCCCACACATGTTGCACTTAATTATGTTATTTTATAAGTAAGTCTACTAACATCAATTATAAGTAAAAAGGTGTAGATAGGTTACAAGCACTCAGCAAGTGATACATTAAAATGTCGCTAACTAGCTACACTTTTTCATATTTGTCTCTTTTTCACTCACGATTATTGAATCGAATCATACGATTTATTCATGTGTGCATTAGTGTGTCGTTTTTGAAAATCGAATGTTGTTTATGTGACCTATTTATACCATTTTACTTATAATATCATTGACTAACACAGGCAAATGGCAGTTAAAAGCGTAGTAAGGAGTCTAATTAAGACGAAGTTTTTTTAAGTATACTTTTTGGTAAATTTATTAACAATACCAAGCAATAATAAGCTCCATAGATGAAACTGGTGACTTAAGTAATATAGTGAATCCAGCAGACAAGAGTAAAATCGAAATTCAATATAATAAATGAAAGCTGAAATACTTTAGGAATATAGCTTCAGTTTCTCGGAAATCTGCAATGTCAAAGGGGATGTAGAACACCTATTCTCGACTATGTCACATCGCTAATTGATGTAGCCTAGCCGTAACCTTGACATTCCAGTGATGAAAGAATTCTATTTT